TAGGTATTAGTCTTTTTTAGATAATAATTTATTAGACTATATATATATATATATATATATATATATATATAGATATTTAAAATTTTATTGATCTTTGTTAATATATGATTGTCAATTTTAATCATTTTTATTGTTATCGAACAGAATATTAAACATTTCCAATTCATACAATTTTTTATAGAATATTACACATTTTTGACAGATCAAATTTTTGACAAATCATTATCCGTTAGTAACATTCCATTAGAAAATTTTGACTTAAGCATCTGTCAAAAATTTTTGTAAAAAATTCTTACATTTTCGACAAATATAAACTTGTTGGAAATATTTTTTCGATAATATAACTTTTTCTATGAAATATGTTTCATCGAAAATATAAATTTTCTGACAGATTTGTATCTTTCAAAAATTATCTACAGATATATCCATCGAAAATATAAATTTTTCGACAGATTTATATCCGTCGAAAATTATTCGTCAAAAATATAAATTTTTCGACAGATTTGTATCCATTGAAAATATAAATTTTTCCACAAAATTATATCTGTCAAAAATTATCCATCAGTAAAATCTATCAGAAATATAAATTTTCTGATAGATCTGTATCCATCGAAAATTATCCGTCGGCAATATAATTTTTCCTACGATTTTTTTTCTATCAATAAAATTCGTCAGAAATAGAAATTTTTTGATAGATTTGTATCCGTCAGAAATTATCCATCGATAATTTGCATTTTTCTTGTAAGGATTGTCTTTTGCAAGCATCCCCCACCTCGGACTACATAGAACGAAACATGAATACTTCGATGAAGTTGAGATCGTGATAATTAAGTGATTATTAAGGTGTGTCTCTTAGTACAAGAACAATAATGTACTTGTATAGTACATGAATTTATTAAGAAAGTCCGGTTATGAATTGTCGTGAATTCTCTATCAAAAATAAAAATTTTGTAAGCGCCTATCAAACTTTTTTGATCTTGTGGGGATAATATTTTTTAAAAAATCAATTTTTTTAATAAATTAAAAAAAAATACATGGATGAACAATTATTCTTCTTTAATTTGGGAGGGAGAGAGAGGGGACCCTAGTCTTAGGGTGGGGATACTGTGGTGGGAGAGGGTGGATGAGTGTCAACTTTGATGATCCTCAACGAATCTGTAATCTCATTGTCCTGTTTGCCTCAAAATAGCAGTTGCCAATGCAGCCAAAGGGACAATACAATTGGATGTTCCATTATTAGGTATATGATCATATCTTACGTGCTGTAAATTTTACAAGGCTGAATGCTAATAATATATTTTAACACACTTATTAAATATTCTTTTTGTTATTTAAATAAATATGAATTTAATTGTTATGTATATTGTCATTATAAAACTAATTAAGAGAGATAATTTATACAATCAATTAATCAAAAATATTATTGATATAACTTTTAATATAATTATTATAAGAGTCAAAAAATTATTATATGATATTTTATGATTAGATAATAGTCGGTAGATACATTATTTACTCAATAAATGTTTATTAATATTAATAAAATAATGTGAATTTTTATTCATATTAATTAATTTTTCTTATAAATACTATACTACCAAAAAAGATTCGCTTATAACTTTGTAAATTTAATTAATAATAATGTATTAAAAACAATGCATTTCTTATATAGTTTAAGCTCCAAGTTTTGAGTATAATCTTGCTACTTGTCGTGGGTTTCTAAACCTCCTTTTATTAATATTTTTTTATAGTAACAGTTGGAATTGAAGATTTAGTGAGTGTTTAATATAACAAATGAAAACATGTATAACAGATGAAAGATCTACTGATCTAGACTTAAATCTCTTGATCTATCCCCATGTGTTACTTTCAATAATTTGTATTTAGTTAATGATCATATAATTAAAGCACCTTTATCTATATTGCTTCCATTCTGCGGTCTAGGCCATTGGATTTATGGTGATTGCAATCTTTCCCAGTTCCCATCGTGTTTGCACAAGTGGGATTGCATTGTACTTCATGCATGGGACACTTCAACTTTTGAAAGGGAGATTTGCTTATTCTTGTCGTTGAAGTAGATGTATAATGAAACCCTTTTTCATAGAATTTGCAGGAACAACATGAAACTAGAGTTAGTGAGTTACTATTACTACTAACTAATGTAGGTTAAATAGGGTTCAACTGTAAACATAGAGATCCAGTATTGCATTAATTATTTGTTAAATTAGAGCCACAAAACCCATATTTCTTAATTGTTAATGCTATGTACCGTACTAGGTATGACGTTAATCCAAGTACAAGTTTATTACTGGAAGCTACTTTGTTGGGAGAAAAAAGAAAATTCCTTTGGGTTATTTTAAGAACAATTACGTCAAAGAAAAGATATGCCAAAAAAACGTAAGAGTGCCTTTGATATGTCTATTTAAAAAACTAGTTTTAATTTTTAAAATGCAATTAAACAAAGCAGCTCAAATATTTGGTGGAATGTGGAATGTAAGGTATAAAGTAGAGTGTGAAATTGATCAGGGAGATATTACAGAAGATGAAAATAAGAAAATATCTCTCAATTATTTCTGTTTTTAATTTTTAAAATACTCGTTTTGTAAATAACTTTCTGAAAACTTACTAGACTTTAAATGAGAATCAAACATGTCTCAAATCTTTATTTTGTTTGATTTCTGAAATAGGAACCATTGTTTACAAATTAAAATACCTGACTTTGCAATTTGTTTTTCCTACTTCTGATTTTAATTCTATAAAATGATATAATGTCTCATTCCGTCAATGAAAAAATTTAGTAAAAATGACTGAAGTAAATGAAATTTTATAGCATTTTACAAAATAAGGAATTGAAGTATAGATTCTATAAAATCAAACACTAAGATGAATAATAATAATATTATTAATAATAATAATTATTACTATTATTATTATAGTTATACTTTTAAAAGAGATTTGTTAAAAAATAAAATAATATTTGCATTTGAGATTTGTGAGACAGATTTGTGAGATTTGTTAAAAAATAGGAGTGATAAGAAGGAAGTGGTAAAGAATTGAATCTAAATCTAAGAAGGAAAGTGGCCCACGTTGCTTATTATAGAAGCAACAGGCTAACGAAAGTCCAGTGATGTTGGACTTGGAACTCGAGTTATCTGTTCAACTAATTAAACAAGTTCGATTTTAATTAGGTCTGCCCTACTTGTATCCTGCATTGTTTTATAACAACATATCAAATGACATCAAAATTTCACGCACATTAATATTTATTTCAAACAAGATTTTTATTTTTATTTTTTATATAATCATGGTGTGAAATATCCACTTTGTATTTATGTCATAGATACAAGTGTTTTTTTTTAACTGTATTTTTTTATATTCAAAATTTTTTTAACTCAAGATCTCTTTGTCAAGAAATTTAGTTGATCATGATCGAATGAAATCTCTTCTCTCGATTATATTCTTTTATTTACAAAATTCAAACTTGAGACATTTAGAAAGATTGGATAAAATTCCACTTGGATAAATGATCTTTAATTTGAATATTTTGCTTTTTATATCTTAATTAATATTAGAGTTATATTTCGATGATACATACTAATATTAAATATTGTCTTTTATCATAGATTTTATTGATATGAAATCTAATTTTAATTAGAAACAACTTTAAAAAATTATAATATTATATTCATATTGGTCTAAGGTATCGCATATTTTATTGACCAAATAATGAGATTATTCCTATGATGGATTCTTCCTTCCTTTAGTAACAGGTCAATGTAGTTGCAAATTGTTTGGATATAATTTAGAAAGACTTTTGTGACATTTTTTTTTATTAAAAATAAAGAATATTTTTTAGCAGAAAATTTCTTAAACGCTTTTAGACCTATACATGTCCTATAACACTATGTTAGAAAGTATTTTGAGAGAATGACGTTTAAAGTCTAAAAAAACATAAATAACATTAATGACATATATATATGGTGTCTTATATATGGATATATCAAGAAAGATTGTGAAAGGTTTTTTATTGTTCAATGAAATTATAATGACAATATTAAGATTCGAATTTAAATCACTATCTATATTACTCTAGCTCCTTTCACTATATCAACTTAATAGTTTTGTAGATATTCTAAAACTGTCCTTCCAAAAATATCTACTTTATTATCGAAAGCATTATGTTATGTGATTAGTATTCATTATCGAGATATAGTATTTAATTTGTCTTGCAATTAGGTCATCCATCGTAGATCTCAATCACTGTGAGCTTTTGGGTTAACATAATACGATAGGTTGGGTGAAGTGAGTTGTCTAGAGTGGACTTCTGTTATCCATGACAACAATACCTCATAATTTCATTCTATCCTTTTTCCTATCCTCATAAATATTTTTCAATTACTCATTGATAAATATAAGTTTTTAAATTTCTAGTTATCCAATTTTTTTTTATTTTTTTTTTTAAAATCTGAATCTTTTCTTTTGATGCTTGCAACTCTCGCAGACATGTACGAAACAATTTGGGTGTGGTCTGCTACATGTCCCCACATCCACGTGACCCTGTTCCTCCTCCTCACTCACCAATGTTCAATGATAAATGCCTCTCCACCCCGCCTCACGAATCACTCACACTTCAATTCAATTCGCTTCTCAAGAGTAACACTTGGTTGTTCTTCTTCACAATGGCCATTAGAAAATCCAATAAGCTACCCCAAACAGAAGTTATCAAGCAAATTGTTAGAAGGTGCTCGAGCTTCGGGAAGAAACAAGGTTACAACGAAGAGGGTCTTCCAGAAGACGTGCCAAAAGGGCACTTTGCAGTGTATGTTGGTGAAAACAGGACAAGATATATTGTCCCAATTTCGTGGCTGGCTCATCCACAGTTTCAAACTCTTCTCCATAGAGCTGAGGAGGAGTTTGGCTTCAATCATGACATGGGTCTCACTATCCCATGTGATGAAGTTGTTTTTCAGCTTCTTACCTCAATGATTAGATGAGATATTAAGATGGAAAGTTTCGACTTAACTCAATATCTTACAAAGTCTGAATCAGTTTGTAAGATGAATGTTATCATCTATCTATATATTTTTTTTGTCTGTCTTATCTACTTGGATATGACATGCATTTTCATCACTCGTCATGAGGAGAGGCAACAACATAAAAGCCCCTTAATTGTCAAGTGCCAATTCTAAGGAACCAATAACATTTTTCACTTTTGGTATTGTAATTGTATATACGTTCATGCCCAAGAATTTTTCCTTGTCTTGCCCATGCCATTTGTATTCTTAATCGACGACTCAAGATTTCAATGCTATTATATTATTCATATCGGGGTATTACCCCCTTCAAATTTTATATTACAACTCCCTCTTTACTTTTTCTTTACTTGCTTCATAGATGGAAATTGAAAGATCAGTGGTTTCCTTTAAGAGTTTAGTTTAGAAATTCAAATATATCATGCGTAAAACAAGTGTTCTTTCTTGTTTTCAAATATGAATAGGACTATGGATTTTTAAATATGATATGATCCGTGTATATGATAATACTTTAAAATATTAGGATAGGGATACAACACATGTAAAGTAAAATGCATTTATATTTGGGTACACTACAAAAAATATTATGACATGCAAAAAGTATTACTATAGGTATAATATATGTAGGTATATATGTCTATTTGACATATAGTTACATACAATTTTAGTGTTGATTTTAAATGAGATTTAACAATATATTTTGTATGTCACTATAACTTATATCTACACTTTTTAATAATATATCAATATATATTTTAGTTATTATGTGGGTAAAAATAATTTTTAATAACATGTATAATGACATTATATGACAATTTTCTTGTAGTGGTATGTAATGTTGAAAGTTTTATAATAATCTAAATCAAATTATGGTCAAATAATATTTTTAAAATTCAAAAAATAAAATTTTTTGACAAAATTCTATGATATATAAATTTTTTAACGTTGATAATTATACGAGACAATTATGTATGTCTATAGTTTTCTTTATTTCTTTTTTCCCCTTTTCGGTTCACAACGCCGAAATTCCCCCGAGTTGAATTTGGAGTTCCAACCGTGTCGAACTTACAACTAGTACTTATATTTAAGATAATTTTATTAATTGATAATAATAAATTATATACATAAAAAAAATAAACTCAACTTATTATAACATGTAAAAGGTGATTAGTTTCTATAATTAAGGAAATGAAGAGGAGGGAAAATTATTGTTATTTTACAAGTTCCAGTTTATTCTCAAATCCAAACGAGATTTTCGTGGCACCATAGACATACACCATTCTTCATTTTATTCTTGTTTCATAATTGCTTCACTTATCAACCACATGTACTTTGTACAGATGTAAGTAACCGATGGATCAATACCTAAACTTATATTGAAATTAATATACTTATTTTGTATGTCCTGAAGACTATTAATGGATATATATTACTAATTAATTATCACTTTTTTATGATGAATATTTCGTATTGATAAAAAAAAAAAAAATCTTTGACTTGTTGTACTCGGATAATATCCATATAAAATTGCAACTTTTTATGAGCATCAAGAATTGCAATATAAAAGTGCAAGGGTACATATTTCTGATCGTTAGTTTGTGATAAGGTATTGGCTTAGTTCCTGGCCACAGTGATTAACCATGCATGCATGATAATTGATGCATAATTGACCATTATGTCACATTCTCTTTTCTCATTGAAAGGAAGTTTTATTCACCCAACGGATATAATAACACAGTATAAGCAGTGGGAGAAGTAGAGCCTAGCTAGCATTGGAAAAGATGGCTCCAAGTCACGACATCAAGCATTAACTTCTTGCTATCTCAGCTAAACAAGTGTGACCTAAACTCCAATGAACTGAAATAGTACGAGTTTAAAATTCTCATAATCCCAAGCCATGATTAAGGAAGTTAGAGAGTCTTATTCCAGACATGAACATTCTCAATAATAATGTTTCATTTACTTCTCCACCCCACATATAGGACAAAGTACTTGGCCATACAATCGAATAGTACTTATGTCGTTTCCTTCTCAATTATCTGATTTTTTTTATCAATGTCGTCAAAAAATATTTCTTTTTGAAGTATAAAAATTATCGAAATAAATTTGTTACTCTTAACAAAGTCTTACTCAAACGCACGACTAAAGAATCGAAAATCTATTAATATGGATAAAAATAATTAATTATTTATCAATTATGTTACAATTTGTTGATAATATCTGAAAATTATAGTACATCATGACATTGGACCTTTATGTCCTTATTACAAGCTCCATAATTGATTATAGCACAGTTAAATTATAGACCTGTAGTGATAAACACATGGTTAATTTTGTCTATTTGATGTTCATGTAAATGGGACCTCATTGTCTATGGAATGAGCCATATGGGGTCTAGACAATTAAACCCTCAACCCTTTTGTCCTTCCTTGCCCAACAAATAACAAGATGTGAAACCATAGCCCCAGAAACAAAGAAAAAGTTTTTTCTTTTCTTCTTAATTTTAATTTTGATATTTTAAGGCTGCTGTGAACGTTTGAGTTTTGTGGCAGGGAGTCCCAAAGAGTCCATCCAGTCGGATTGTGGTCCTATACATCCATGTCACTGATGAGAACTTTAACTTCCCTCATTAATTAATCACCTACTTTGTTATGTTTGACAAATGTAATTAAAAATTGTTGAATTTTTTATTTTTCAGTGGTTGAAAGCCGTTAGCCCGGAAAGTACTTATATGTACTAACAAGAAAAAGGTATTATGCGTCTGCATTGTATTAAAATAAATAAATAAATAAATAAAATGATAAATTATTCATAAAAATAAAGTAGTTATTGAAAAATAAACAAAGGATAAAATGATCCATATAAAAATAGAAATTAAAAGTAGTTATTGAAAGTGATATCCCTTTTATATATTAGTATAGATGATGCCAACCGCTATCTTAGACGAGAGTATTTTTAAGAATTTTTCTTTGAATATGAATTCTTTTAATTTTACATCTAATTCAATTTTGATTATCATAACTACTTATGAACTAATTTTTAATATTTTTAAAGTGAATTAAACCCCAATATTAAACATAAATAATTATATTATACAAGCATTTTTATGGTCTATTCCTCGCAGGAGCTGTTTAGGAATCCTCTAAACTTCCTATTTATTTTTTTTTACTTATTATATTTACTTATAAATTAAATTTTCTAATTTTAAAATAAATTATCGATAATTAAAAAATTATACCACAATATAAATTAATATCTTAAATATAAAATAAATTTATATATTAAAATATAATATTTATTTTTATATAATTTATTATAAATTTTGGTTATAAATAAAAAAAACATTTAATCTATAAAATGCATGAGCTAAAATACTAGTAACCTATTACACTGTAAGTGTAAAATAAAAAATAAAAAAAATTATTGAACTAATAAAGACAGAATGAAAGAAATAAGTATGTGTATATGATATTTTTATATAAATGCTATTTTATTTTATGGATAAAAAATAATTTTGGTAATTATTTTAGTTTTTATTAACTTTAAGTTCTTGCATTTTTTATTTGAAGACCAATTATTTTAATTATTTTTTATTTTCTTTTTTGGCACCTAATTATATTTTAGTTTTAAGTATTATATTTTTCATATGGTGCCTTCTATGCAGACCAAAAAGGACGGAAGTAAAATATTAATAACATTCCTCCACCTTTTGTAAAAGGATAAAAAGTAAAGTTAATATGTATTAAAAATTTAAAATATATA